ACTCCGAGATTCAGTAATGATAGCATACAATTTTACTCTAGATAATGCATAGGAAGGTAAATACAAAAATAGAACAAAATTTTTAATCCTGGATTAGCTCTAACCGGCCTTTCAGGGAACCGGGGCCAGGACTCCAGTAAACTGAGGGCGGCCAATTTATAGGGGGTCATTTAATGGAGGTTTTGCACTATTATGAAAGTAGTGCCTGTGTTTAATATACATGTATCCTCTGATAATTCCAAGGAAACATGCCAGTACATGAAATAAGAAACAAGAAACCTGGATATTTTGGACAATGAGCCATTTCTGAGTTACCTTAAGTCTCAGTTTCAAAGCGAGGCTAAGTACAAAGCCATTGATTTGAAAATGATTTTTTATTTTCTTACAAATAAAACTCATTGTCACAAGAAAGGAGTCATTTTGAGAGTGAGAGTTTTTGGAACTCAGAAATGGCCAATTACCTTTGGCTCCCACCTCATTATTTCCTTGTGGGTCCTTCCCTGGGGGAAGCATCTGATTGATGCATAACGTAATGTTTAAATTGAGTGGCTTCAAAATATTTTTGTAGATCTATTAAAATCCTTACAAAAATCATAAAGTTTAGGATTATTTTGGTCCAAAATTCTAAATTATAATTTGTACTTTCTTCGTAAATTATAATACAAAGATGACAATAAAAATACAGTAGTCAACTGATCGTAAAGTTGTACACTTGATCAAATAAGAACCATAAGTTCCAAATAGTTTTTATGTACATCTATACATGTTCATGCTAACTAATCCTCAAGATTGCTATAGTCAACTCTCTCATAACAGTCACCTCGTTAAAATGGACAGCCTGAGAAAACAGCTGACATTTCATCACCCCAACACTGGTTTCCCTGTGAAATGACGTCTGAGAAATGAGTGTAGAAATTCCACACTGATGACATCACTATTCAGATCTGGGTAGATCTTCTGATTGGTTGCAGCAAATTTTCAAATAAATTCGACCCACAACTGGGTAGTGATAAGTCATTAGCATTGAATTTCTGTGCTTGTTTCTCAGAAGTCATCTTGCAGAGAAACCAGTGGTGGCGTCACAAAATGTTGGCTGTTTTCCCAGGCTATAAAATGGACATCAGGAACTAGTCCCTACTCTTTTTCAGTCACCTTTTTTGACTCTTTATTAATTATACACTTTATTTAAAGAGGGTATCACAGAATAGTTGCAAAAACTAGTAATCTGGTGGCTCTCTATCTGAAATTACAACAATGCAATGCCATGCATACAGTCTAAGTAAAAAAATAAAAAACTTAGAAGATAAAGAAGTTCTACAGTAAATGTAATTTAAGTTAAAATTAATCAAAAATCAATAAATCAATAAATTGGTTTAAGAGCTTATGATATGGGTAATAAATATATACAAGAATATCAAACTATGAATGGTGTAATTTCTGCTTCTCCTAAAATCTGATATTTATATATTTTGATATACTTAATAGATCCAAGAAAAAAACTAGAAAAATTTCAAAGGTTCTTACAACAAAGTAAGCTCTCCCTCTATTTAAGTTATAATGGTGACCCAGGTCCTATAACGTATCTACTTGGAAATCCCAGATGGAGTTCAGCAACAGATTGTCCCTTTCGTAAACGGTCGCTGCCATTTCTAAAACACTTAGAAATTTTTTGACCTGTTATTGAGAGTGTTTCTGTTACTGTCAAGGCAGGTCAAGTTTACACCCCAAGATTCTATTAATGAATTTATTATTTGGAAAATAAATCGGTTAGTCGTCCCCGTAATTAGTGTCAAATTCAAATCGGCATTCCTGCATTTGTAATGAGCAGTGAATATTTCAACGAGAACTTCTCTGTATTAGATCAGATTGAAAATCTTTGAATGGATAAAATTGCTTCGAAGACATTCACATCGAATTCAGGGAAACTGAGCAGGTAGAAATTTCAAAACTGCTTCGCGTGTGAATTCACGGCTCATTACGCATACAAGAATGCAGAGATGAATCTGAAATCTACAACTACCGACGGATTGAACTTTTGAATAATAAATTTATTAATGGCATGTTGGGGGGTACGCTTGACCTGGCTTGACTGTTAAACGAAACTATAGAAAATCGTAATCAAGGGTTGAACCCGGACCCCGAACCCGGAATTTTAGTATCCTGATCTCCCTCCCTTACCACTAAAACTACCACACCGACCCGCCAAATTCGAGAATAATTTAACTACATACACTAGGAAACTGTCTTTCTTAACTGATACATCAGTAACAGGTGACCCTAGCCCTTTCCATAACTTTTAACGAAACTTCAACTTGGGCTTCAACGTCGTTCTAAGACTGTTCAAAAACGTATTATTTGCCTTATTGTAACTTAATCCATGGAATATATTAAGTCTATCATGACTAAAAGTTACTAACGGTGGCGTTGACCGTTAAAAATGGCAAGGACCGTTACGAAAGGGAAATAGACGAGGGCCATTTCAATGTTACCTCTCTAGCGCGCCCTCCTTGCTCTCCAACCTCATCCCTAGGGCTTTCCCCGTAAGCCCTGGGGACGAGGTTGCATGCTCTCGAGCGCGTAATAATCCCTCAAGGACATTTCCCTTCCGCCTCTTCAATAGTCTAGTTTCGAATAGACCTTTTCACCTTGTATGTTTTGTTTTCCCAATTCAGAACACGTGATGTTCTCCAGGGAATTTACCTTTTGTCGTCTCATTAATTATGCATACACATGCACGTGGACGTACGTGTATAAGACTACATTTGAAAAAAACAGTTCACTGGGGTACAATCACGTGGTCTGAAATGGGAAAAAAACATACAAGCTAAAAAGGTCTATTCTTCGTGGCCGCTGAATAAAGGCACCGAAGATATTTGCACGGGGTCAGCCTCGACCTAAGGTAAAATATTCACAGGTGCCTGAATTTGAGTTTATAACAATAGACACAGTTGTACACAGGTCTTCTTCTGACTGGAATTTGTGACTATATTTACCTTAGGTCGAGGCTAACGCTGTATAAACTTGTTCAGTGCTTCTATTCAGCGGCCACGACTAACTCCAACCGGACTATTGCCTCGCCACAATACAAAGGCTAATTTCTCTAGCGTTCTCAAACGATCGAACGAAAGGAGCGATTAACTAATGAGACTAACAGAGAGACAATCCGCCACAGCGATTTCCAAATATTGATTTGCGACCCTGAATGACACACAATCATGTTGAGATATATGGACATTTTAATGTCGGTTTCAAAAATCCTCATAAATAAAAATGATATATAACCTATCCATGCATTCTCTCCGGGTGCATTATGAGATGCCCATTTCCGAACTAATAACTGAGAAGGCTTTGAAGTTAGTTCTGATTCTAATCACGTACATTAAAAGGCCACAAAAAGCCAGGAACAGAATTCGGGTGCTTTTTTTCAGTCAATGAGAGAGTCGAAAATTTTGTATTCTCACCACAAATCTCCGGCGCATTTAATATTATACTAAATAGTGAGATAATTATGCATGAGCCGGAAGGAGAAAGTGTAAGAAATCTTAAATTCTAGACTGAATATCATGAGCCTATTCGTAAAAGGCATTATTTAAAGGAGTAGATAAGGCAATTTCTCAAATTCAATAATTGGCCTTCCCAACATTTTTCAACTGAAAAATCAAGTAAAAGCCAAATTAAATGATGTTGCCATAAGAAACAATACTGAGCTTCTTAAGGTGAAGCAGAGTATTAAAAGTTTAAGGCTGAATCACTTCTGTTTTCTGTTGGCCTGTTTGTTTGTTTTTTTGTTTGTTTGTCGGTGTTGCAATCGCGCAAAACGCAAAAGGCAAGCTTTTATATAAAAAATGAAATAAGCGAATACGTGTGGACAATTCTCATTTTCCACATTTAGTACTGGGGCTACTAAATTTGTAAAACTGTTATCCTTGCCAGCAATGTTTGTTTATAATTCGCCCGCCTAATTTGTAAGTTAAATACTAACAATGGCCAAAAGCTTCCGTAATTTGCGCTCTGTTCAAAAAGCTTTTCTGACTACAGTCGGACTGTGAAGTTGTGCCAGTTTTTTGTAAACAAAAACTGGAAGGAGGAAACGCGAAAAAGAATTTGATAAAATATTATAATCGGGCAAACGTGAAACCAAGTATAACTAAAGCTTGAAAAGGCTACTTGTGGACTAAAAATAACTTGATAATGAATTCGAGGATATAGCAGCTGTTTTCAGATGAAGTGTTTCATTTACTAAGGAGGACGAATGACAGGAACTATGCCTAACATGCAAATCGATTCCAAGACCACTTACGGTGAAATATAACTGCTTCATATCATTTCTTCATATCACCTTTCTATTTCTTATAAGGAAATGTATAAAATAGGAACGTTGCTGTATTTCAATAGGCACAGTGCTACATGTTCATATTTTGAAATAGGTTTCTCTTCCCTGCCGAAAGACGCAAAGTGTATCTATAATTTGATCCGATTCTGAAGAAAACTTCGTCGGCTAAAACATCTGCCTCACATAATAGTTGATGTGCTACTGTTTATATAACTTAGGGAAACTAAAATTGAGCAGGGGCGATTTATTCCTCACCAACCCTGAAGGCGGCTGAAGTTAAGCCTTCATACAAGATTCTCAGAGATCTCAGTGATGTCCCCCACGAAGATCAATTGCTCGCCTGTTTGACAGAAAAAAGGTAACAGTTTGCGATTTGATTCTAGAAGAAACATCCAGCAACAAACCTATAAAACCTGTCGAAGTAATATTATTTTTCGGGTTAAAACACAAAGGTTGATCACAACAGTTTTAAGCAAGGAAAGAAAATTTCCATTCTCACCATGCAGGATTCTTAAAAAATGTTTTAACCAAAAAAACCGTCTGTCAGTGTATCATTGAGTCTTAAGCCTTTTCTGAAAAAAATGACGTTTACTGTAGTAACTAACAAATACATCCAAGAAGCTTTGATTTTAATTTGATCGTTCGTTTGTTTTGAAAGGGAACAACCATGAGCTATAACAGGCAGAATCAAGATGACTCAGATGATTTTCTGGTGCTGCGTATCTTTCAAGCAATCGGGATGAGTGTTTTTATTCTCACCGGAATTCCTGGTAATTTTTTGGTTTGTTATTTAGTGCGGCGAACTCGTCGCCTTCGAACGGTTACAAATCTGATAATCAGCAACTTGGCAGTAGCAGATCTTGGGATGTGCCTCTTTAATATTCCTGTTTCCTTGGTAACTGTCATTCTCGACAAGTTTGCGCTGACCGATGTTGTGTGTCGTATTGCAGGCTTCACGAACGCATTGTTCCTTTTCGAAGCTCTCTGGTCGCTCGCCCTTGTCAGTATATCAAGATACTGGTGTATTGTAGAGCCAGGAAAATTTTCCTCAATTTTCACCAGACGTAGAACTATGGCTATGATAACTGCAACATGGGTTTTGTCGCTCTTATGCTCACTTCCGCCGCTATTCGGCTGGTCTTTTTACGGTTTCATTGTTGGAAAATCTACGTGTTACTTCAAACTTAGCCAAAACCTTCCCTACACGATAACGTTAGCCGTTGTGGTATTTATTTTGCCGTACATTTTGATAACAGTTCCTTATTACAGAACATTTCGGTTCATACGAGGACATAGTCGAACAATGAGCATACGTGGTGTATCGTCAAGTCTTAGAAAGACACACCGCCCCACTTTCCAAGATTTTAAAGTAACAAAGCTCCTTCTCGTCGTAGTTTGCGTATTTGTAGCATGCTTGACTCCTCACATTGTTGTCAATTTGCTGAACGGTTTCGGCATAATTCAATCAATCCCGCGGATCCTCGACGCCATAACCACTTTTCTTACGTTTCTCTCTAGCTCTTGCAACCCCTTTATCTACGGACTTATGAATAAAAAATTCCGCAAAGGATTCCGCGCGGTTCTTTGTGCGCCGTGTCAAAAATGCGCCAAGGTGAAGCAGTCAAAACTTGAGCGAAGAATCAGCAGGGAAACCACCAGAAACTTAAGTTCACGATCCAGGAGTAGCCATAGAAGAGAGTGGAGAATTGTGACCGAGGCAGGGCCGCCGATAATTTATGAATCAAGTGTATAGTCATGGAAGAATTTCTATTTAGATTTTCTTCCTGGTGCGCCTGTCTTGTGTCTGTGGAAATGAAACTGCCGGGTACAGTTGCCATGAGAGATTCTTCTCTGTGATGCAGTGATAAGTTGTGAATTTTATCAGGATCTTCAGACTTTTTCATTAAAAGCTTTTAGTGCAAAATTGTTTCACTATTGCTAGTACAATACTTCTTCACATAGACTTGACATTTTATACATACACTGTGGTTCAATTTAGGGAAAAGTCTGTTTGTTCTTGTTGTTTCGTGAGATAGCAGGGGCACCCAACGACAATTTTCGGAAAATATTTGTTCGGAAGACGATTTGAGATCTAGAATTTTCGGAACATTTGTTGTAAATTTTTTGCTTGCCTGCTCCTCCTAGGATTTTCGAACATCTAAAAATAACTATAATTGCCCATTTTAAACGGATTTTTACCTAAAAGGTCACCTAGAATTTTCGGGAGCCTTTTTTTGGGCTGAAATTTTTGGGAAAGGTAAGTTTTGATCCCTATAATTTTCGGATCACTAGACTTTCAGCTAGGAAATCCGAACAGATGAAAAATTTTTAGAGGATAAAAATATTCCCATATCTACCGTTTGAATACTAAAATACGTTTAACAATGCTATGTTTAAGTGGTTTTGAACTATATTCTCGTTGGGTGCCCCTGAGATAGCATACAATGATATTGGAGGACAATTCACGCTGCCATAACATCTTTCCTTACCTTTACTAGTTTAATTCGGTCAATTCGGCAACGATAAAATAACATTTAAAGGGTTCGAAGCATGACCAAATTCAAGTAGAAGTTAGTCGATGTCAAAGCTAACGCTCACTTGTGTTTGATTTTAAACTTCTTCACTGTCGAGATGCGGAAAGAAAGCTTTGCCGTTTGAGATTGTGAGCTAAAATAAATTACCCAACGAAAAAGACAGCCGTTTTTTATTTAGAAACTACACGTTTCAACAATTATTTTAAGGTCTTTTTAATGACAAAGTTGCATTAAAATGACTGAAATCACCAACACAGAGCATTACCTTTGTTTATTGCAAAGTCTTGGTCAATGGTCAACCAGAAATCGTTCAATCCCACATATTCTAAGGCCATTTTTGCTACGTGTGTTTTTGTTGATTTTAGGATAATTTTTCTTGATAGCACTGACTGCTGTTAGGCAGAAAAAAATTAATTAAGCTATGGACGGAACTTTGTATTGCTTTACCTGCTCAGTAATAACCCTAGTTGGGTTGTTGGGAGAAGATAAAAAAGCTTGGAGAGGACAACGCCAAATATCCGACCTTCTCACTCTTTACGCAGGAGCGGATCCAGGCTTTTCCTAAGAAGGGGTTGCACCACTAAGGAATGGCGTAACTGACTGGTAACGTGACGTGCCAAACCACCATTTTTACTGCGTTTAACATAAATTTTTCAATTTTGTCTCATGTTTTACTTCAACACCAATAAACCACATAGTTTTTTTGCAGAATAACAGTTGTATTAGAAAGTCGCAATTCATCTCAGGGGGGGAGGGGTGGGTGCGCACCCCCTTCACCCTCCCCTAGATCCACCACTGTTACAAAGTGTCTAAAGCCACAATCCAAATAAAGATTAAGGTTATTCTTTTAATGCTCTCTCTAGTTTAACATGGTAGAAAACAGCCACACCGGTAAGCAAACAGCGTACATCATTTACTAAAATCATGGTTATTTCCTTTCGCGTTCCTTCTCTTTTCAAGGACCCATGGGCTGTTTTCGCACCAATGTAGTTTTTTTGTTTCATGCGACGTTTTGTTGCAAAAGCCTATCGCAACGACATTGAGGGAAAAAAGCAACCTGACTTACTTTGATTTTTGGGTCAGGCCAAGGTCTTCGACTTCGCAAAACGGGAGGTCGTTACCCAAATTCTAGACAACCCCTCGGTCGTACAAGTAAATAAAACCAATAAGCACCGTGGTATAGGTATGTATAGATTGGAACCACCACCTCCCCCCCCCCCCTTTTCCTTAAGTTGCTCCCTTATTTTAATTTTTTCCAAAATTTATTTGGTGGGGGGCCTGTTTCTTTTTCAGGCCCTTTGGTGTTTTTAATGAAAGGGTGCTGTGGGGGGTTCACTTAAAATGGCCGCAGGTGAATGGGATTGTAAGCCGCTACGTGCGGAAGGCAACACA